CAGTGATTGGGAATTTGAAAATGGGCTTGAATGTTTGTTAAATGAAATAAACTTGGGTGATAATGGAGAACTAGAAGATAGTGAAATTTTGTCATATGCCGCTGGACAAATACGAGAATGGCGAATGGGAATTGCGATGAATGAAGGAAAAATAAGACAAATAAATCGTGATATACAACAATTAAATGATAAAATTGTCGTTCGTTCTTCTTTTCGTTTTGTTTTTTTTTTGTATTTGTTTAAAAAAATTAAAATTAAAATTTTATATGAAAGGTTTTCTGCGGAAGATAATTTATAGCAGATGTTTTATTTTTCAATTTAATTCAAAATTGCTAATAGGTTATGTTCGTATAATTATTAATTGATTTCGTTTTTATTCATGTTAAGGTATACTTAATGATTGTTCGAAATAACTTCATTGTATGTCTTTTCATTTATTTAGTTGCACATATATGAATCCGTAAAGCCACAACAAACAATTATGAAATTATGACACTTGAAATTTTGAGGTATTAAAAATGTGAATCAGTTCAAGAAGAGGTGGAAAAAGTAGCTTAAAATTAACTTTTATTTTTACAGATCACTCCAAGCTTCTTTACCATCATCATCACGAACTGCTACAAGTACGATCAGTCAGAAAGCTGAGATGGAACAATTTTTAGAACGATATACAAAGGAAAGGGCACGTCAGGATTACCGTTTTTGGGTTGTAAGTTTTTGTATATAGTCGACTTTCACATGTATAATGCGATTGTTATTTTGTTGTGAATAAATCGAGTTTCAAATGACCAGTAAAAGAGAAAGAAAAAATTGTGAAAATTTGAAATTGCTTAAATAAGTCATCGTTACATTCAATTATTTATTTCCATTTATTCGCCAGGTAATATCGGAGTAAAAGACGACCAAATTACGTCGCATTTTAGCGCATAATCGGATAAAGTATATTGTTTGTTGAAGATAACAGTTTAAGATAAATAATAATGGATTAGTTTATGTTTATTATTTATGAAAGTTATTTTCAAACAGATGTAAGATTTTCAGATGGCGAAAAATGATGCAACCACTGATGGAGACATTAATCGAAAGACTTAGTCAACTACCGTCGGATAGAGCCTTAGCTGAAACGAGTAACTGGTTGCAGGCGAATTTCCAACTGTCCACTGTGAGAACGAATGCTTCATCGATGTTAATATATTTGGCAACACATGCCGGTATGTTGAACGATCCGAATGCACTGCAAGAATACATTCAAAAGGAATTGTCGCAATAATAAATGTAACAGACTATGTCATCTGATTGACATTATCATAGATCGAATTTCTAACCATTGTTAAATGATGCAGTAATAGGTCATCCAAATTTGGTAGGCAGTGGTATATATGAATGACCAGCATTTACTTTTGGTATTTTTTGAAAAGTGAGATGAAAGGAGAAGATTGAAAAAAAGAGGCATCAGATTTGAAATTTTTCTGCTCCTTCTGAGTTTCCAAGGTGTTAACTCTTAATCTTTTTTCCTTACCGAAATATATTTTCTCACTTTAATCGATCTGAGTCTTTCGTCATTTCATCTTCATTAACATATTGTTGTCATCAAAATTGTCAGGTTGCATATGTTTCCCACTTTAATGTCGCATAGTTTTGCCGTTGTTGTTGGGTTTTAGATAATTTAGACCTGAAAATAATAGGTGCTAGCTTTTCGCCCAAACAATAATATCATTTGAATTTGTGTAAGCAAAAGATTTTGAAGAAAATATGTTTGTCCTGATTGAGTTTTGCTGATTCAATAAATTTTCACGGAATCCCGATTGAAGCAATCATTCTGAATCTGTGATCAATGTGTACTGTCAATTGCCAGCATGTGTT